TCCCTAATCCATATTTTAGTATTTGTTCGAATTAGTTTATTTTAGACAATTTTTTTTAGCAATTTTACGAGAAAAATCTTAAAAACAAAAGATTTTTTTTTTTTTTAAAAAAATCTTCTATCAAATACACACTTAATCAAAAAATTTAAAACGTTATTTTCTTGGATTTTATTTGACCTTCACGTTATACTAGGACTTCTTTATTCACAATTTCATTCCCACATTATACTTGGAATCCCAAACATTGAGTAGAAAACAAAGTACTTGTCCAGGCTTAAGGTATGTTCAAGCATACAGTGATACAAGATTACATATAAGAGAGAGGACAAAACCTATATCCTTGCAAGCAAAGTATTTAAATCCCTATACCAACCGAATCATCATCATTAATTACTAACAATGTTTAGCTCCCAACCCGAACCAAAATGCAATTAGTTAATATCAATATTTATATAGCAACATCTTTTGCACTCAATTAAAACTAGTACATTTAAATGAATAATAATTGTAAGGTTTATTTAGACACTAATTAATAAATTAAAACAGAGATGCAATAAACATATGTTTATTAGTAATATCAAATTTAGGTACATATAAAATAAACAATTTATATAACTTTACTTACTTTTAAATGCTTCTGGGGCATCAAAGCGTAAAATATTCTGACTATCATTAGCAACTTTGATCATCTTGGGAATGACTCTTTGGAGCAACGTTAATCCATTGGCCTTAAGTGGTGGCATATGAAACCCTTCTTTGTAGAGTGTGTCTATGTCTTCAAAGCTAACAAATCCTAGATTTGGGTCTGTGAGAATTGTGTCTAAGGATTCAAAAATTGCATTCAGCCCCAAGGATACCGTGGAAGTTGTAAACTGTGACTGCTTTATCTTAGAAAATGCCTCGTCGCGAGGAACATAAAATCCTGAACTTTTTATCTCAGACAATGGGTCTGCATGTATGACAACAAAGAAAAAGTGTTATAAACTATTATATTCAAATTCCACCATAAAGAATAATATTAAGAAAATCAAAGTGCAAACATACATTGTTTAAATCTTGTTGGCTAACTCCAAAAACATTTAGATAACACAAAGTTTTAGTAAGTCAAAAAAATTAAAAAGTTTATTAGTCGTTAATCAGATATCATTATTGATACGACTTTTATTTATTTGTTATAAAAATCAATAACTTACAATAAGTGATAACGTGTGATTAGATGACAGTTTACAAAGTCATTACATCACCTATTTTCTCTATAGCATGTTTTTTTCAAGGTTTAAAAATGGTCCACAATTATAATTTTGATCAAGATGTCAAAGTTTTTTAAGTTTTCACAACTATATCAATTATTGTTATATCTGATATCGACTTTTTAATATATTAATTAAGGATCGTGATGAAACCGCTAGAACCATAATTTAACACCTTGATCCATATTTAATTTTTACCTCTTTAACATCTTTCATTTCATATAATAGATTTTAATTTCTTAAATCGAAACAATTGTTGCTTGGTATATAGTAAAGTTGTTACATATATATAAACAAAGATAAAATTGACACTAAGATTAAATAACCTGCATCAGAGTGTTTTCGACCGGTACGACAACGTCTTGGATATGGATATTGTTTGTTGCCACCTAGAATAGGTCTTTTGAGATTAATGTTGGTATCAGGATCTCCAAGATCATTGTACACATCATAATCATATATTCTATCAGAACTTTTGCGTTCTCCTTCTCCATTCCCTCTCAAAAGAAGTAGCTCCTCACCTCTCAGTCTTTGTAATCCTCTTGGTGTTTGTGATGGCAGGTATGACTGTTCCATGTATAGATTAACAGATTAATTAATCATATATATAAAAGAGCATCATTGTGTTAAAAATTTTAAAAATAAAGAGTAAATAATATATACAATCAAACTGTAAATGATTTTTACACTATCAACTAATTAAAAATAGTTACGTGTGATAAGTTTGTTACTTTTTATATATCATAACTACTTAAAAATCATGTCTAATTCAAATTTTAATTCTAACCTTGTCAGTGAAGAAGACTCTCTTCACGGCACCCTCATTCTTGGGTTGAATCCATGAATTACAAGTGAAGTGAACTGGCCCATCAGGGAAACCATGAAGAACTATACTCTTTAGAAACACTTCCTCGTGTTGCTCATTTTCAATTATAACAGCACCCACGTTCCCAAAATCCAAGGGTAACTCAAATTGAGCCACATAACAGACTGCATCCTCTTTTGTCTCTATATTTTCAACCCAATTTTTTGGTGTCTTTTTCTCTGAGTTCGTTGCTTCATTTACAGATAAGGAGAGGTCAGATAGAAAGAAAAGACTTCTAAAGTTTTAGTATAATAAGAGAGAGAAAAATAAAATAAAATTGTAGAATTGTGAATTGATCTACAAGCATGTGCTATAATAAAATATTATAAAATTTTGTAATTAACCTGATCAAATTGACTTTCTAAATTACATATTTAAATGATAAATGACGTGTGCTTGCTTATTAATTTTTGTATACTTTTCATCAATTAATGTTTTATAAATTTGACCTCACTTTAGAAAACTCAAATGCATCAAGTGACTAAGGATAAAGTAAATAATTTAACTCGTTCATCATGAGAAAAATAATTAATAATATTCTAATATACTTATAATTTGTTATCTATGTGGATGTAATATTGACAATAATATTTTAACAAACGATTAAAATTACCTACTTTATTTTCTGTAAAATGTGATACTTATTTTAGAAAAGTCAAATCTTAACTGCTAGTTATAATTAAGCATGCAATAATTATTAATAATTGATCTTATAAGGGTGAATCAAGTAATATGTATGACATCATAACCCGTAAAAAAAAAAAAAATATATATATATATATATATAAACAAAAAAATCCATCTTCCATCACATAACGTTGAAACATAACAAAGTATCAATTAAAGCTGACAGTCCTTTTGGAAAGAAGTTCGTTTGAGCCGGAATTATTCTCTGCT